GTCTCCTTGCTCCTTCCAGTTTTGCTTCTGACAGATATTCCACTTCTGCATTGCCTCAACCATCAACCGTGCATCATGATCAAGATCTGGGTCGTGATTGGAATTTACTCCCTGATCAATGTAAGTAGACGGAAAATGTATGGCATATTGCATTACACATCCAGAAGGAGAGAAAACAAGAAGGTAATAGTTTTTCTTCACGGAATTCAAGTCACCGTGAGTATCATAAATTTGACCCTCACGAAAAGCCGAAGCAATGGCCCCAGAGAGAGAACTCGGCCTCCCAGACGCAGCAGAAGCAGCATCACTTACTGTGTTTATCCAACCATTGGTACTTCCACTCCTAATCCGGCTAACGGCAGAAAGGGCCACAGGAGGGCCAGAAGAACAGATAGTCTGCTGAATGATAACTTGTAATCCTGAAGTCGGATATCCATGGACTACAGATTTTGTTCTCAAGCTTGATGCAGTATTCTTGGAACTGACTCGTGAAGCATCCAACTGAAAACTGACAGATCCCCCTGACGGGGAAATAGCAAAAAGATGACTTGTGCCCCTAGAGGAGCTGATAATTATCCAGCGGCTATTGCTGCTAAAACTTATATCCTGTATAACCTGTTGGAAAAAAAAAATGCAAAAATCAATGTTAGTCACCTGAAAGCGAGTTCAAGGCCAAAATTTCACATCTAGTCAGTCTTACAGCATTAGTGAAACCACGTTGCAGCCTATACAGATGGGAATAAGATGCTCCAGCCTCAGATGAACCAGGCATTACCCTGAAGACATTTATGTTGTGGCCCTGAACAGAAGCTGTCACTAAAAGAGTGCCACTGGGATCGAAACGCAATGACTGAATAGAGCTTTTATGCGCCCTAAATTGCGCAACCACAGTTTTGCTGACAATGTCTCTGACAATAACCTGGAACATTAAATATGGAGTGAATATCAGCCATGCACAAGAATTCTAGGCTTCTTATACACAGATGAAATAGTAAGAAACAGAACACGGACGAAAAGCTGTCGGTATTTACGAGAAAGAAATAAGCAACACAGAACAGCAATTAAATCAAATTTTTCTCATGTGAATACACAGCATACCATCCCAACATTGTCAGCTTCTTGAGAATGTCCATTTGCAACGCCATTCATCTTCACACGAACAGCCCCCGGATGACAATTGTTGCCGTCAGGTACCAGCTCAGAATAGTACCTCGAGAGCTTCTTAAACCCCATGTCCCCTAAAGACACAATACCAGCAGCAAGATGCTTGCTCGACTCTCTTGCATAATGTGCAACGAGGCTTCCATTTGAAGCATGACCGGGGAAACTAGAAGGAGCAAGATGCTGTGGAGCAACGGAGCGGGAATTAGAAAATGCGACCGGACTCCCACTGTAAGCCATCCAACGTGGGCCCACAGCAAGGGGCCCCACACCTATATTCCCAAATCCAAAACACCCTGGCGTTATTGGATTTATAAGAATTGTGTACTCTTTCTCAAGCGTAGCCGCATTGAGACAGTGTATCTGTTGAAAGAAAAAATGCATAATGACCAAGGGAATAGAGAAAGAAAAAAAAAAAAAAATA